AAATCATTTAATGGCAATTGTAAATGAAGAAGTCCTCAAAAATTCTCAGGTTAAATTTTTCTTAATAAAATGTTAAAATGTTTTAATGTAATAAGTCTATTCAAAATTTATTGATAAAATTAAATATCAACATTAAATTTTTTAAAGACATGATGCCATGCACGTTTCTTGACAAAGTGTATCAGTTATATGAAGATTAAGCTTCTTAATTCAACAAATCCTGAACTTGAGCTAGTAAAAGTTTAAGAAGGTGGAAAAGATGGCAAATTTTATTTTTTCTATGCTTTAAAAATTCTCAGAGCTGAGAAACCAGATAAAGCTGAAATCCAGGTTAGTTATACCTGTTATTTTAAATACCAGGATAGTTATATGTCATAATTAAACTCACTTTTGATGTTTGAGCTGTTAAATTATTTAGCATTATTTGATTAGATAGTGTAGAAATATTGTATTGAAATGTTTTCTTTACAGGACCATTTGGAAAATGGCTCAACTAAAGAAGTTTGATCCAGCTGCAGCTTCAGCCTTCGAAAGTTGGAATGACAACTGTTACTTGGACCCCACATTGCCTTGGCCAACTTAGTCTCTCTTACTTAGTCTTCTTTTTTAGGTCTTCTTGGATTATCATTTACTACTGACCTTTCATGGAAACCATATATACTGTTGATTGCTAAATTAGCATCTGCTAAGGTTGCTGCTCTTTATCATACTCACCATTTTCTCTCTCCTTATTCCATCTCTACCTCTACAAATTTTATTATTCATCCCTGTATGGAATACTGTTGTCATTTGAGCTGGTTCTTCTAATTCTCTTTCTTTTCTAGACAAGGTCCAAAAATGCATTGTAAATATAGTTGGACCGGGTCTATCTGCTCAGTTTGAGCCTCTTTCCCATCATCATAAAGTTGCATCTTTCTCTTTTCTACAAATACTATCATGGTCGCTGCTCAAAGGAGCTATCATCTCTAGGTCCATCAATTAAAACTCATTCTGGCTTGACTCATCATACAACAAAGTCTCATTCTTTAACTGTATCTGTCCCTTTTTTGCTCCAAAAACTTTTATTCGTCTATTTTTTTTCCCTTCACTTCAACCCTTTGGAACTCTTTCCCATCTTTATGTTTTCCTGACTCATAGAACCTTCAACTTTAAGTCCTCTGTCTTTCAATCCTATTCTATTTTTCTAGTATAAATTTTCAACTTTAAGTCTTTCAACCCTATTCTATTTTTCTAGTATCTCCCAACTTAATTATGGTTGCTTGTAGCCTTTTTGGGAGTGAATCAGAAAAAAAAAAATGTCTAACTTAAAATATTTTTTTAAATATATTTTAGCAAAACAATCAGAATATATTGCAAAAAGGAAACTGATTTATACGGATATTTGAATTAACTTCACACACAATAATACAATTAACTCACACACACCATAAATAGAATTAACTTCTATTTATAGTGTGTGTGAATTTTTTTCACAAGAAAATTTTTCAAAGTTAATAGAATTAATTTTAATTCAAATATTAACAATCCTGAGGGAGTAAGATATTTACAGACAACCCTGAGGGAGTAAGATATTTACAGGCAACCCTGAGGGAGTAAGATATTTACAGACAACCCTGAGGGAGTAAGATATTTAAAGACAACCCTGAGGGAGGGAGATATTTACAGACAGACCTGAGGGAGTAAGATATTTACAGACAGACCTGAGGGAGTAAGATATTTACAGACAACCCTGAGCGAGTAAGATATTTACAGATAGTCCTGAGGGAGTAAGATATTTACAGACAACCCTGAGTGAGATATTTACAGACAGACCTGAGGGAGTAAGATATTTACAGACAGACCTGAGGGAGTAAGATATTTACAGACAATCCTGAGGGAGTAAGATATTTACAGACAACCCTGAGGGAGTAAGATATTTACAGGCAACCCTGAGGGAGTAAGATATTTACAGACAACCCTGAGGGAGTAAGATATTTAAAGACAACCCTGAGGGAGGGAGATATTTACAGACAGACCTGAGGGAGTAAGATATTTACAGACAGACCTGAGGGAGTAAGATATTTACAGACAACCCTGAGCGAGTAAGATATTTACAGATAGTCCTGAGGGAGTAAGATATTTACAGACAACCCTGAGTGAGATATTTACAGACAGACCTGAGGGAGTAAGATATTTACAGACAGACCTGAGGGAGTAAGATATTTACAGACAATCCTGAGGGAGTAAGATATTTACAGACAACCCTGAGGGAGTAAGATATTTACAGGCAACCCTGAGGGAGTAAGATATTTACAGACAACCCTGAGGGAGTAAGATATTTAAAGACAACCCTGAGGGAGGGAGATATTTACAGACAGACCTGAGGGAGTAAGATATTTACAGACAGACCTGAGGGAGTAAGATATTTACAGACAACCCTGAGCGAGTAAGATATTTACAGATAGTCCTGAGGGAGTAAGATATTTACAGACAACCCTGAGTGAGATATTTACAGACAGACCTGAGGGAGTAAGATATTTACAGACAGACCTGAGGGAGTAAGATATTTACAGACAATCCTGAGGGAGTAAGATATTTACAGACAACCCTGAGGGAGTAAGATATTTACAGGCAACCCTGAGGGAGTAAGATATTTACAGACAACCCTGAGGGAGTAAGATATTTAAAGACAACCCTGAGGGAGGGAGATATTTACAGACAGACCTGAGGGAGTAAGATATTTACAGACAGACCTGAGGGAGTAAGATATTTACAGACAACCCTGAGCGAGTAAGATATTTACAGATAGTCCTGAGGGAGTAAGATATTTACAGACAACCCTGAGTGAGATATTTACAGACAGACCTGAGGGAGTAAGATATTTACAGACAGACCTGAGGGAGTAAGATATTTACAGACAATCCTGAGGGAGTAAGATATTTACAGACAACCCTGAGGAAGATATTTACATCGAGTTTACACTTTAGTTTCTTAATTTGAATTTGTGACCTCAAGTGTGAATATAATTGTTTAATAAAAAGAAATTAGATATTTTTAGGCAAATTTAATTACTGCAAATTAAATTACTGCAAATTAATCAGCATTCTTTTGTAAAAACGATTCAGCGCTAGAGATTTCACTAGTTTTTATTGCACATTTTTTAAATAGACTCTGTGCCGGGTACCCGAACTCAGACCCAGTATTTTCTTCTGGTTACCCGGAATTAGGGACTTGGCATAAACTCTGCCACATCTCTAGTTTTATTCTACAGAAAAAAGAGTTCAAATTCACCCAGCCATATTCACTGGTTGATTATGTAGAAGCTGAGTTTCAGGTAGTATTTGATAACTTGAACTTGTATTTTTATCCTTTGTCTACATGAAAAATAGATCCAGATTTCATGGCTTTTCAAGCATTTGTTAAAACTTTGGTGTTTGTTAATGAAGCAGCAATGAGATCTTTGAAAGCTGTTCAGGAAGTGGTGTTGCAGACATAAGAAGAAGAAACTACAGAAAATGTTTTGGAATAAAATAGGAAAATCACTTTCACTTACTAAAACAGTTGGAATAAGAAAGCAGATGAGTAGCTAACATCTGCTAAGAAGATAAGCCTTTCACCTGAATGTGGATATTTTTAAGCCTTTCACCTGAATGTGGATATTTTTAAACCTTTCACCTGAATTATAGATATTTTGATGAGACACCAGGGTATTTATCACTGTCTTTTACAAGTGACTTTGATTGTAGCTTGGATATTATTGATGAAGATGATATGGTTAAGGCTATAGAGGCTGAAAACCTTTGACAATTCAGAAACCTAAATCTATATTACAAATTAATATATTTTTAATGTCTTTTAATTTATTTGTCTGAAGTACAGATATTTTGGAGAAAAAATTTACAAACCCCTACCTATTTGGTAAAGTTATATCATTGTGTTTTTTATATTTTAAGTTGCCAGCCATAAGGAGGTACAAGTTTTTGATTGCAGCCTCGATTTTTTTTTTTTTATACACTCCTCCTCCAGGTTATACATGTACATGTATAATAGTGATATAATGTACATAATACTTGTATACATGTTTGTAAATATCTCAGATAATTAAATATCCAGAAAATTAAAATCTTGTGAAAAGTTTCAAATTTCTCAAAAAAAATTTTTTTAATGTTATTCAAAAAGCTAGTTTATTGAAGTTACAACCCTCTGTCAACTTTTTAACTCTGGGAACAAATTGAGCGCAGTACTTCTCGCTTATAAAACAAGCATTCTACCAATACACTACTACCACATTTTAAACTTGTATACATATTATTATAAAATATTTTGTAAAATATGAACCCCCAAATGGATACTGATTAAGAATTAAATAAGTATATAAATAATTAAATCAATAATATTAAAAGTTCTTATCTCCCCCCTCCCCCCTCTTAGTAAATAATCTATAAAGACTCATCAAAAATAAATGATCAATTAATACAACTTTAATTTAGACCAAATATTAAATTACAGGAAGTCTTAAATCTCTTTACTATTGTAAATTTTCACACATTTGTGGATTTTTTAGAATTGTTTAGCTTTTTTTTTATATTTTAATGGGGGATTCCCCCATTAAATATATTTTAATGGGGGATTTGTTACAAATATTTTTGAAAACACTTATTTTTATATTTTTTTAGAAACTTATTTTCATGCCTGCATATAAAAATTAATTCCGATTTTTTGTTTAATAAACATTTTTTGTAGACATAATATGCATTTTTGAATATATTATTTATATGCAGGTGCTTTTATAAGATATATATATTATTATGAACTGGTTTATTAATAAGGCACCTGCATATAATAATATGCAGGTGCCTTATTAATAAACCAGTTCAATATAAAATCATCAATATTTTTATCTTTCAATTTCCATATTTATTTTAACAGTATGATGCCTTTTGAAAGATATTTATAATAAATTTTAAATAATATATTTTCATTTAAAAAATTAATTTTAATTTATCAATTTTTATCTTCAGTGCCAATAAAGATTTTAGAAATATATGTTCTTGAAAATTGTGAAAGATTTCACACAACTGCTGAAATGTTAAATGCTATTAAGAGTCTACAAGATTTGGCAGTTACACTAAGCATGTTGGGTAAATAAGTATTCTTGTAAAAAAATATACTATTTCTATTATTAATAATTTTACTAAATTTTTTTTATTTTTTTGTTTAGAAAAATCAACTATAGAGGATTCAGTGTCTATTGATGTTTTTTTTGATTACTCTCACATTCCCAGATATAGTATAATTTTAGTTGATACAAAAAACTCAGAATTCACATCAAAAAGAAATGGACCCTATGCTGTGTTTATTGTGCCACAAGGTCTGTTTTGCATTGTATGTATATATATATATATATATATATATATATATATATATATATATATATATATATATATATATATATATATATATATATATATATATATATATATATATATATTTGGATCACAAACTTACATTAATTGTTTTGTTCTAGGTTGCATTGTGTGATTTGTTCTTAATTATATTAATTTTTTTTTCACAAATGTGTTACTATAGTAGTAAGAATAATATAGTAGCATTTAACACACTATTAAAATGTACTATACAATTTTTAAAGTTTTAGGTGATAACAAAAATACAATAGTATAATTTTCAAATAATTAGTTTTGATGATCTAGACTACACTTTCTCATTGCTATGAATGCTATAAAGCAGCATAAAATTAACATAACAAATTTTTCTTTATGTTTTTATTTTCTGACTTTTTTTTAACGAAAAGTTAGACATAAAATGTTAGCTATGAAAAGTAAGCCATGAAAAGTAAGCCATGAAAAGCAAGCCATAAAAAGTTAGGCATGAAAATTTAGACATGAAAAGTAAACCGTGAAAAGTTAGATATGTGCAGTTACTCACAAAATTTTGGTAAAATTAAAGTTATATAAGAAAAAAAAATGTATTTAGCAAAAAACTTTTTTTATAATCTTAAAAAATGGTAAAAATGCTTTAAATAGTTGCAGTTAAAAAATGTTTACTTGATGTTACAGAATGTTTATCTAACGTTAAAAATTGTTTACTTAAACTTTCAAAGACTCAAACATTCTTAAAATATTTAAGAATGTTTGATGATTTTTTTTTAATGAATTGTTTAAGATTTTTTTAATGAATTGTTTAAGATTTTGAGTTTTTTATATTTAAACCACTTTTGGCAATTAAAATATCATAATAAAAAAAATTTCATTTAAAATATTAAAATGAAAATAAAAGCATTAAGTAATCACTACAATGATTAATCTCTAACTAGCAGTAAGCAACCCGTAATACGGGTTAGTAGTAAATAAATCATTACTAACAATTTGATCTTTATTTACTTTCTCTAATGAAATATAAATTTATTTATACATTTTTTTAGTTGAGCTCACTTTTATTTTTCTTAGCTTCTTAGTTTAAAAGAACTATTAGCTTCATTAAAGATAAAGTTAATTTCTTTTGGAATGTTCAGACATTGAATGCGCAAATCACAACAATGTAGTAGTTAAAAATGACTTGAATTATATGCACAGAACATTGATGTCAAATTTTCAAATTCCGTAAAATTGTTTAGGTAAATATTGGAAATATATTCTACTCTTAATTTTGCTTTAAGCTGAGTTGTTTCTTTTTTTTTTAAACTTTTCATTTTACTGAGTGAAGAGCTTAAAAATATGTCACTATCGCACCTAAACTTTTCAATGTTATTAATATACTTTTTAAATATTTTTAAAACATCTAAAATATTACACCCAAACTTGTAGGCATAGAAGTTGGATATCCGGAAAAACTATAAGTTGAAAAAAATATATCGCAATTCCGAAAAGGCCTTACCCTGCATACGGATCCTATATTATTATGATAAAGATTATTATTAAACCAACCTTTTTTTTAATTAGTAATCCAGCAGAAACTTGTTTATAAAAAAACAATAAAGGAATATATGGACTTACTTTAATAGCTAACGTGTATCAACATATTTATTTCAGCATACATCCAATCCATATTTATACTAATTTTATAAAAAACATTTTGCCTTAACTTGGCGTTAAATTATTAGTTTTATTTCATTAATTTTTGTATAGATCAGGTTAATAATAAAAGAAATTGGATTTTACTCAATATTTTTGAAGTAATTATTCAGCTTTAATAAAATTGATAAAATCATATAAGACAGTTAAAAAATATATTTAAACCTTTGTTCACTTTTTGAAAATCTGTAAAAAAGCAAGTATCAAGTTTACATATCTTTAAAAGAAATTTATTTACATGATATATAGTTAAATATGTAACAAAAATATTTTAAAACAGAAGCATATATAAAACACATTTTTCTTAAAAAAACAAAGTTGAAGCCACCATTTACAGCACCAAGGAGCCAAGTATAGCCTATTGTAAAAAAAAACCATATCAAATAATTTAAAATATTTATTACCGATAGGGGCGACAATTAAACATATTTAAAAAGCTATGTGATTCCATATTAGTAGGATTGTTATAAAAAAGTATATTAAAAAAGTATATTTAAAAAATATATATTTAAAAAAAAGTGTATTAAATAGAAAACAGATTTTTAAAAACTACCTAATTTTGTAAGCATTTTGCCAATGGTGTTCAATTTTGAAACCAATATCTTTAATAGAAAGCCGACTTGTTTAACTAATCTCATTCAAAGAATAAAATTATTAACACTTAAAGATAAAGAAAAAAAAATGAATGAGATATAAACAATCGTACTATAGTATTATATAGATAAGAAGATATATATGAAAAAAAAAACAACAACTGGAAAACAGTATACCTGCTTTTGGTAACCTATTGTGATACTGCAGCAGTTGCTGTAGGGATGCAGCTGTTCTTTTTGGTGTTGTTCAAAAACCTAATTTTTATGTTGGCTTTTAGTAAACTTTAGTTTAATTTAAAAGACATCACAACAGATTTAAAATACTCATAATAAAAAAAGCAAAACATAAAATGCTTCGAGGAGCCAAACTATAAACATAAAAGATGAAGAATCGAATCAAGATAAATAAATTGTATTTATATAGCTAAATTTATTGCCTTGGGTTTTGGTAATTTTTAAAAGCAGTGAGTTCAATAAATGAAACATACCAAATAATTGTTTTTAACAAAAGAATGCAGCATCATTATATTATGATAATTGGATAATGAATCAATTCAACTTTCGACTTTAGAATTTAGGGAGGGGTATTTAAATGGGCTTTAAATTTGAAGTCAGGTTTAATTGGTGAGAAAACAATTAAAATTTTCATTAAAAAAGATCAAAACCAAATATACAACATAATATATATTTAAAAAAAAATTACAAAATTAAAATTAATTACAAAATTAAAAAAAAAAACACCGAAGAAAAAGCATCAACCAAAAAGTCATAAATATATCTACTGATAGAAGACATTTACAACCTTTTAGTTGCTGTTTTTTCTTCAGTGTCTCCCAACACCCCTGTATGGATGAGCCCTCCATTTAAAGGAGGGCTCATCCATTCCGCCATTATATTTCCATTTGTTGAAGGACCTCTCTGAGAGAGGTCCCGGGTGTTGGGAGCGGTAAGTTTTATAATCTTCGAATGATAAGGAATCTAGCGAACTTATGATTTAATTAACACAGCCCTACCAGCTATACTTCCACCAGACACTAAAGACAAATATATACTTAAATAAATATAAAATAATTGATAAAATAATGTTAACATATAAATATATACATATCTAAATAATTGTTTTACCCATCCCCCTCATTTCATCTATAAAGTTGTCTAAAGTAAGAAAAAAATAACTAAAGCTAAAAACAAAACTATAAACTAAATCAAAACTGTAAATTAAAGTAAACTTTAAATCTTCTAAACATTAATGCTTTATTTATTAAACTAAACTAATCATAATTTATACTTAGTTTTTGTTTTAACTCCCTAAAAGAAAGTATAAAACAAAGCTAAAGAACTTGATTTTTTAAAATTCCGGTGGCAGTAGAAATAAACAAATTCCTATTAACAAATATCTAATAGCAAAAACACTGACTTATTTGCTTCTTCACTTCTGTATCTAAACAATAAAAGCAATTTAATGTTTAGACGTTAAAATATCGATAAAATACATATTAAATGCCACATTCATCTAACTAATGCAATTAATACCTTTATTAGATCTCTCTTGATTAAATAAAGAATTTAAATTTCAAATAAACTCTAACTAAATTTTAACAAACAAACAACCAAAATAAATCTTCACTTTAATAGTACGTTATTAAGTTGATTAAATAGATCAAACAATTTAATCTACTCTAATAATCTACTACCTTATTAATAAACTTGAATTATTTTTCTACGACTCAGTGTAACTATAATATAGATATTTTTTAAAGTAAAAAAGAATTTAATATTATAATATATATGATTTTAAAAACCTGAAATTTCAAATCTACCTCGAAGAAAACAGATATATATTGAAAAGTATTTTTATTTCTTTTTAAAAATTTAAAAATGTTTTATAACTTACTTGTTTCAATACTATTACCAACGTCTAAATAGAAAGCTACCTTACCATTATGGCAACAAATGTGTTTCATCTGGAAATTTCTTAGCACCACAGTGCTGACAAATTTGATTCATTTCTCCTAAATAATTATAATCTGGAAACTTCTCGCTATAGAATACATTCGCCCTTGTCTAACAGCTCTTCTTTCATTTTTGCGACGATTAACATCTCGATCAAGCCTATTTCTTTCGTTTTGGCGACGATTAACGTTATCTCAATCGAACCTATTTCTTTCATTTTGGCGATGATTAACATTATCTCGATCGAGCCTCTTTCTTTCATTTTGGCGATGATTAACATTATCTCGATCGAGCCTATTTCTTTCATTTTGGCGACGATTAACATTATCTCGATCAAGCCTATTTCTTTTATTTTGGCCCTGATTAACATTATCTCGATCGAGCCTATTTCTTTCGTTTTGGCGACGATTAACGTTTTCTCGATTAAGCCTATTTCTTTCATTTTGTAAATGATTAATTTCATCTCGCTTAAGTCTATTTCTTTCATTTCGTCTACGACTATTTTCCACACGCCTTATAGCACTTACATCATTTTGTAAATACATAACTTCATCTAGCCTATCATTCATTTCAATGTCATCATTTTGATTAAACATATTTATCAAAGCAACACTAATTATTTCTTTTTTTTACTACTCTAAAGTTAACAATAAAATAAAAAAACTAAAAAAATCTTACTCAAAAAATTAAAAAAAATATTCTCAAAACAAATATGTAAAGAATCCAAACTAATGCAAAATAAAATTAATTTGACATCATCAAAAGTAATACAGGTTTCTTAAGTTTTTTTGATAGAAGTTAAGAAAAACCTGCAACCATATTAGCAAAAACTTAATACAAAAAATTAAAATTTATTCTGTTTCTAATAAAGAAAAATATATATATATATATATACATATATATATATATATATATATATATATATATATATATATATATATATATATATATATATATATATATATATATATATATATATATATATATATATATGTATATATATATATATATATATATATATATATATATATATATATATATATATATATATATATATATATATATATATATATATATATATATATAGAACATATATATATATATATATATATATATATATATATATATATATATATATATATATATATATATATATAGAACATATATATATATATATATATGTATATATATATATATATGTATATATATATATATATATGTATATATATATATATATATATATATATATATATATATATATATATATATATATATATATATATATATATATATATATATATATATATATATATATATATATATATATATAATATATAGAATATATATATATATATATAGAATATATATACATATATGTATATATATATATATATATATAATATATATATATATATATATATATATATATATATATATAGAGAGAGAGAGAGAGAGAGAGAGAGAGAGAACATATATATATATATATATATATATATATATATATATATATATATATATATATATATATATATATATATATATATATATATATATATATATATATATATATATATATATTCTATATATATATATATATATATATATATATATATATATATATAATATATATATATAATATATATATATATAGAACATATATATATATATAGAACATATATATATATATATATATATATAGAACTATTTATTAGCGAATACATATGAAAACCAAAATTTTTTATATAATATATATAGTATATTTGATAAATAAACCTCTACAATTTTTTTGGTTCAACAACTTGATTATGATTAATAACAACTCTGTAAATATAAATTTTATAATGATCTAAATCTTTATAAATTAGATATTTTATTTTATATCTTAATTTTAAATTAAATTATATTTATCTTAACTATAAATTAAATCTTTATAAATTAGATATAAATAGAAAAACAAACATATAATAACACAATTATATCCTAAACCAAAATTCAATCATGCAAGGCAAATAATTTTTTGAAAAAAAAAATTTTTTGAAAAAAAAAAAAACATATTTTTTTTCAAAGAGCCAAAGTATTAACAATACTATAAATTTTATTTTTAACAAAATGTTGTCATGGCTTTTATCCCAATTATTAAAAGCATTTGAAAGCATGAAACTACCCATAAATATCTTTTAATGGTATTTTCAAAATTCACATGTATAACACGAAAAAAAAAGATTACAATAAACTAATTACTTATAAAATTTTAAAAAGATTTTATAAATACTCAATGTCTACTTTACGATTTTGAAAACTTGAAACTTTAAATTTAAATTTTAAAAAACTGAAACTTTAATTCTACCTCAAAGAAAACAGATATATATTGAAAAGTATTTTTATTTCTTTTTAAAAATTTAAAAATGTTTTTAAACTTACTCCCTCCAATATAGTTATATAATATATATAGTATATATGATAAATAAACCTCTACAATTTCCTTTGTTTAACAACTCGATTATGATTAATAACAACTCTGTAAACATGAATTTTCTAATAACCTAAGTAAATTACAGATAGACAAACATAAGTAACACAATTAAATCCTAAACCAAAATTCATTCATGCAAGACAAATTATTTTATATTTATTGAAGAGCCAGAAACATATTTTTTTTCAAAGAGCAAAAGTATTAACAATAATAAAGATAAATTTTGTTTATATCAAAATTTTCAATAAAAATTAAATTAAAATAAATTTATAACAAAATGTTGTCATGGCTTTTATCCCAATAACCAAAACTATGTGAAAGCATGAAACTACCCATAAATATATTTTAACGCTAGACACAATCTTAAGAATTAAAGTAATCTATAACACGAAGCTTTAAATTTAAAATTACAATTTAAAAAAGATTACAATAAATTAATTACGTTTAAATTAAAAAAAAAATTTTAGATTACCTATAATTTTAAGCTACTAAACATTATCTACTTAATATCAACTTGGACATTTTGAACACTTACCATGCAAGGTTGAAAGGAAATCTTTAAGAAAGCACGCGGTAAAGAAAAGTCTAGAAACTACTTAAAAAGTGTATTTTACAGATACAGAGCCGTACCGTAACTATAAAACAATACGCGTAACTATGCGCACTAATAATAATAATAATAATATTCATTTGGCTATTCATTATAGAGATGATTAATAGTGAGCTAGTAAAATTTGTCTTATAAAGTAAGATATAGCATATTCATATGTGAGTCTTTTAGATCAAGTTGTTGGATTTTTTTTTCAATTTTAAATAGCAAAAATTTTGGTAGGTACAATTTATAAAAAAATAAATATGTAAAATTTCATAAATTTATTAAAAAATAAAAAATGATAATGTGAATTTTTGTATACTTCCAAAATTTAAAAATTTTAGTTTGTTTTTTTTCAGAAAAAACTTTATTGAAAATTATATAATTGATTTCGTGATTTGTAAATCAGGAAATCAATTATATTTAATAGGGCACATTAGAAGTGTTCATATTAACATTAGGTTTGTACAAATAAAGTAACATATCAAATACTTTTAAGAGCTCGTATTAACATTAAGTTTGTATATCTAAAGTTGCATATAAGATCTCATATTACTATTAGGTTTACTATTTACCTCATAAATAAGCACTTCAATGGTTTCTTGAATAACATTTGGTCAACAATTGCTAGTTTCTAGTTTTATATTATATTTTTTGTCATGCAAATTTTTAAAAAGTATTTTTCTCTGATACAACTTAAACTCAAGTTTTGTTTAAAATAGGTCAGGAAGGTGAAGATACATTTAGTAGTAAAGAGGGAAGAATGGAACTGGGGCGCATTGTTGGATTTGATAGGCTTGCAATAGTTTATCTTCAACGAGGTCACGTTTACACGAGTATTGAAAAGATCAAATTGGAATTATCTCAGAAAATTATGGAGTTATCTAAAAAAGGAGTTGATTCAAAGCAAGTATGATTTTTTAAATGAAGCATCTCTATTTTAAATTTCTATTACCATGTAAAGAAAATATTTTATAAATCTTATTTAGGTTCCATTTCTTACTTCAGGCAATTGTTTAGGAGTGAGAGATATTCAATGTGAAGTAAATTCCTGTTATGGTAAAATAGTTGTTGAAGATTATCAATCAAGTGACGGCATATTTTACAGACAACTTGTTTTTATAAATCAATCATTACCCATAACTCAATGTAAAACTAGACTTGTGACTAGTAAGTTGAATATTTCCTTTTTTAGATGTATTAAAAACATTTTTAATATTTAATGCTATATTATTTTCATTTTTTAATAATAAATTTTAGTAATATTTTTTTATACTTTTAAGTGTGTTTTGTCTTGTTTTACTATTTGTTAAATGTTTATTAGAGTATTGTTTTTCAGTGTGTTGATAAATAATGTTTTAATAGGCAATGTTTTACTATAAATAATTTTTACATCTTAAAACTCTAATCCATTTAGTTTTTTTCTTATAGGTTTTTTTGTCAATATAAAAAAGGTCTCTGAGTCTAGTAAATAAATATATAAAATAGTACATAAATATATCACGTATTATATCTAAATGCTTGCTAATAACCCTTGCCAAAATTAATATATATCCAGGGTTTGGGTTGTCAAAAATACTACATACAGTACAACCTCTCTAATTTGAATCTCCTTAATTTGAAAACCATAATTTGATTAAATTCAAAGTCAATGTAAAATGCGCTTAAGAAACTCTTTCATTTAAATTTCTATAATTTCAATCTCTATAACTCGAAAACCTCCACAATTTGAATGAATTTTTCAGACCCTTCAGTAAAATTTTCTCTGTAAATCAAGCTTTTTTATTTTCTGATGTGTAATAATAAGTTTGTTAAGCTGTCTAATTCTTTTTTCAAATTTCGAATGTTTTGAGTTTTTGAAAAACAATTAATATAAATTATTTTCTTCCTTTTTAAAAAAATCATGGCATCAAAAAGACTGTATAGAGAAAACAACTTATAGCAGAAATACGAAACTCTACTGGAATAGGAGAAAGGAAAAACAAACAAAGAGGTTTCGAGAATTTTTGATATTCCACCAAACACTCTTTCAATCTGGAAAAAGAATAAATATAAAATCTTTGACACTTTTTGTCAAGGAAATTTGGCTAAACAGGTAAAATTTAATACGTATTACCAAGTAAACAAAGCTCTAGGTTTAAACAAATGAGAGCTGATGTCCCAATTAGTGGTTTTCTGGTAAAAGAAAAAGCTTCATATTTTGTAAAAGAGTTAAACTTTGAAAATTTTCAAGGATTTGGATGGCTAGACAAATTTAAGAAAAAGTAAATTAATTTCTTATTTTATTATATCCAATTTTTATGATTAACGACTTTACAATATATGATTATTTTATAGCTTTTTTTCTTTATTTAAAAAAAATATATTTTCCAGATTCGGACATTCTGGAAATTTGCAAAGACTTCGAAGTAACATTTAAACATATGTATAAATTATGGCTAACCAATTATAACTTTTTTTTTTAGGTATGGTATATCTTTCAAAACCATTTCTGGAGAAAGCAAAATCAGTTAATGAGCAAATCATCACTCCATGGCTTTAAACCACACTGCCTACAATTCTCTCTTAATACCCACTTAAAATATTTTTAATGCATATGAATTTGGATTTTTCTACCAATGTTTGTCTAACAAAAGTTTACATTTAAAAAATGAAAAGTGCACAGGAGACAAGCATAGTAAAGTTTGCCTGACTGGAATGGCCGTGGGTAATGTTAAAGGAGAAAGACTTTCAATGTTTGTAATTGGAAAATCGAAGTCTCCTAGATGTTTCAAAGGTGTGAAAAATATTCCTTGTTGTTATCGTGCCCAATCAAAAAGTTGGATGTATGCAGATTATTCGAGGCTTAAAGAAATTGACTAAAAGTTTAGTTTTTAGAAAAGAAAAATTGCTTTATTTTAGATAATTGTTCTGTTCATCCTAACGTGCAGAAACTTGATTAGTGGAGCTTATCTTTCTTCCACTGAATACAACCTCTATCACCCAACCTACGGATCAAAGAATTATCGGATCTCTTAAAGCTTAAAACCGCTCTCTTGCAGTGAATAACAGGTTGCTGCATTGGAATAAAAGAACAAGACACTTAGGTTTTTTATTTTAACTGCTATGTTTATGCAAACAAATTATTTGAAAAAAAAGTCAATTTTCCATTATATGAAAATCTCTCTAGTTCGAACTTTTATTTTTCCCCATAAAATTAGAATTAGAGAGATAGTACTGTACTTAATTGTAAATATCTAATTGTCAAAAAAAAAAAACATATTTTCTGAGTGTATCAACATATGATCTCAAAATTATTTTTTTTTTCTCTAATTGAAATAATAAAGTTACTTTGATTCTTAAGACGTTTTTTTCAGTAACCTTTTTTTTTTTAGGCTTCAGTAATTTCAACGTCTCAGGTTGCACTCCAGAGCCCATATCATTTTTTTTTATCTTTTTATTGAATTTAAAAACTTTTCATTAAGGTGTTTTACATTAATTCTATTTTAAATGAAAGTTGCTTTTATTTTTATAACACAACTAAATGCCCTAATAAACAGTCACTTTTTTTTTGAAAGCCTTAAATAAGCTGCTACTGCAGGATTGAATCTCTCCTCTGTAACTAGGATGAATCTCTATCACCAGGTTGTAAATAGTAACTAAAATAAAACTTATAGTTTTGTTTATTTTCTAATGTTTGTTATTATCTTTTTCTACAGACTCATTCTGGGAGGTCATATATCAAGTCCATTTTGTAATCTGATAAAGTCTCCATTTGAGTTATCATTATATTACATTATTTCCCACTTAGCATTTCTCTTTGTGACAAATTGGCATACATTATTTCCAACTCAGCATTTCTCTTTATGACCATATAAATAAATTTTTTTTCCACTCAACACATGGTTCTCATCGAGCACATTGTTCTCATTGAGACCATGTGCTAAACTCCATTGTTAATATTTTTGTGCTAGAAACCTCAAATAAACTATAGTTATAATTAAAAAAAATATGATGAAATAAAAAGTTTTATGAACACTTGATATTTAAACATTTTTAAGTTATGGCACCAACCTGGTGTGTATGTCACTTAATTGGCAATAACATTTATAAGTAAGTTCTGGTTAAAGGTAAAATTAAAAAGAAAAAGACCAAAACCAAAAAAAGGACAGTTGACTATCGATATCTTGATTCAAAAGTTTCAAAAGAGGTACTTCTTGGAATATTGTTTGGCTATGAACTAAATGAAAAAAGTTAGTTTTTTGTTGTTATTTTTTACAAATAATTAAAAAAAAAGAGTTTTATTTGGATGCATTTACTATACCTTAAATATAAATTTATAGGTGCAATTAGCTTATTGTTTATTGGTGTTGGTTCTGTTTGTTTAATTGGATTTTTATCTGCATTGTTTCCTCAGGTAATATTTAACAAACTTTAAAATTTCCTAAATGACTTTTAAAAATTTTATTTTAAACTTAAATGAGTTTTATTCAACCTTTCAAGCAAATGAAATGATCATTATGATAAAGTGGCAAATGTAAAGTTTCAATTAAAAGTGAATTTCACTCTGGTTTTACTCTAATCATTAGATAATCTATTACATTCATAAAAGAGACTCAGATAGTGAACTGATTAAGTATTTATTATATATATTTACAGTATAAGCCAAATAAAATATTTATGCAAAACATTTTATGTTTGTTTGAATTGAACCATTATTAATAATTTAAATGAATTTATTTGTTGCTTTTTTTATGTAGAAATAGCTTCAGCATTTAAAAACTTTCAAAGTTTTTTTGTTTTATTTAGAAATAGATGAAATGTGTAAAGACTTTTAATTTTTTTTAAACAATATTGTATTTTCATTCTCTTTTTTTGTAATAAATAAAAATATAAAATTTTTAAATGACAATTTATTTCAATGAAGAATGTTTGAATGATTCATTGTTTGAAAAAATGGCTGATAAATGGCACAGATAAAAAGTCAAAACATGTCAAGTTCAATTCAACTCTTCAAATATATATCAGAGAGCTGTGACAAGTCACATTGAGGGGAAAAAACATGTTCACAAAGTCAAAACCAAACAGGTTTGAAGTAACCTGCTACACTAACCTGCACAGTCTACATCTAAAAACATGTTCACAAAGTCAAAACCAAACAGGTTTGAAGTAACCTGCTACACTAACCTGCACAGTCTACATCTAAAAACATGTTCACAAAGTCAAAACCAAACAGGTTTGAAGTAACCTGCTACACTAACCTGCACAGTCTACATCTAAAAACTTTTGGACTTCTTTTGAAGATCTTATAGTAGATCAAATAAAACAGAAATCTCTTTTGCATGCAGTACAAAACAATTTCTCATTAAACTTGTGTAATGAGAATGATCTACTATATCAAAAAATGTTTCCTGATAACACAACTGTTAAATCTTATGAGATGGGTAAAATAAAACTTGGTTATTAATTTTGGTCTTGGGCTGTTTACACATACTTTTAAAAGAAATAAATTTTTTTTTTTACCTTTACTTTTGATGAAAGCCTGAATGTCTCTTTCCAAAATTGTCAAATAGATTCAAATTATTTAAAATTTTCAAATAGATTCAAATTATCCAATATTTTATTTAAAATTTTCAAATAGATTCAAATTATCCAATATTTTATTTAAAATTTTCAAATAGATTCAAATTGTTCAATATTTTATTTATTTAAAAGTATTCATTTTTGGAACAATGATCTAAATCATGTTAAATACAAATAATTTGACTTTCATTTTTTGGGCTCCTGCAAAAAAATTACTTGAAAGTATGATCACATCTTCTACTTGAAAGTATGATCACATCTTCTACTTAAACGTATGATCATATCTTTGGCAATGATTAATTGCATAAATCTGAATAAACTGTGTGCAGATGGCCCAAAATAAACTGGTTATTTCTTAATAGACTATTTATTTCTTAATCTTATCAAAAAACAGCCTGAGCAACTAAAGCTACCTAAACTTCTTAAAATTAGGAGTTGCGACCTCCATGTAATTCATGGTGCTTTTAAAACTGGTTTCCAATCAAGAAAGTTAATGAAAGCTTCATGTAATCTTTTCCATGGTTTACCTGCCAGAAGAGCTGATTATATAACTGCCACTGAACTAAAGATAAGTTAACTTTCACTAAATTGAATTTTTTTTTGGTAACATTGCTAGTTAGTTGCAGAAAATCTAGTGTGATATCAGACAGACACTCCAATGATTTCATCTCTTTTTTTTTAGGTTTATTTTCAATTGATTAAAGCTTAATTAGTTAAATAAATAAAGTTTCTGCTGTTAAAATCAATGACAATTGGTTTTGCTGCAGAACGTTATGTAATTAAAGGAGAAAAGGTCTTAAGATATGATCAATATATTCATGAAAGGTTGTTGACTTATAGTTATTTAAATTCTTGAAAAATTTTAAATTGATCTTCTTTTCTTGAAGCAACTAGTTACATCAGTTCAGAGCAAATCCTATCAAAAAAAAAAGCTGATTTTCTTTTACAGATAAAAATCTGTAGATGATCAGCTTAATCTAATTCTTTTTTGCTTGCATATCAAATGAATGCAATCTCACTTTCACACAATTCACGAAGTTGTTAGAAAAAGGTTTATCTAATCTTTTACCAACGTTAAAAAAAATCACTCACAAATAGATGAGACAAATTTTAAAACCATCAAAGTTGATATAAAATACAAGGTTTTGTCAAAAGTCTTGGTATTCATTTCTCTGTTAGGTCATGGTCAAGCATTAGTTGAGAGGGTCTTCAGTAATATGCTCAGTGAAAGCATAAAAAAAAATCACTTGTCTTTTGTAAAAAAAGACAAATGGCTATTGAAGACCTCATGATATTTAAGGCTCAACAAGTAAAAATCAGCAACGAAAGACTGTTTGTAATGCCTTTTTGAAGTATTAATATCTAGAAGAAAATAAAAGGTTGCAAACAAAAGTAATTAAAATTAATGTGATAATGATGTTGAACAGCACTTAAGGAGGAGGAAAAAGTTTTAAGTGAATTATGAAGTATGAAATAAAAATTATTATTGCCTTTCTAATTATTTAAAATATTTTAAATGTTGGTTATTCTTTCGAGCTTTTTGATATTTTGACATTCTTTATGTTTAGTATTAGTTTAGTATTAAGGACCAATTTGCTAATTTCAACTGCTTTTTAAAAGGTATCAAACAAATTATTGATTTTCTATTTAAAACAGAAATATAAAAATGTCTTATATATAGAAAGCGGGTTATCTGTTTTTTTTTGGGGGGTAAAAATAAAGTGTCTGGGGGTTAATTTTGAAGTTTTAATGCCACGTTATTGAGTAAAAATTGTAGAAATGTCAGGGGAATATAAGCAAAATTTCATTGAAAAAAAATCAGAGAAAATAAGGAAATTTTATTCCAGAATTATTGTGGCAACCCTGTTATGTTTGAAGCCAAATTATTTAAAAAAAAATTTAATTAATGAAAATTTTATTAAGATAATTGTACAAGATTTGTCTGAAAAATCTCATTTTCGATTTTTACTAGATTATATCACATTTAGGTGTGAATATATATATATATATATATATATATATATATATATATTATATATATATATATATATATATATATATATATATATATATATATATATATTTATATATATATATATATATACAGTAGCGTCCAAAAGTTTGTAGGCAGGAAAAAAAATAAAGAATTTTAATTATATTTCAGCACATACTTTACTAAAGCCAACATATTATATACCAATTAAAAGGTTTTCAAATTTACAATTAGGTTTTGAACAAATAATTATTATCTAAATAATTATTTGTTCAAAACCTCGGTAATTCTATGGAGAGGACCAACTCCATTTCGGCTAAAACATCCCCAAACCATTACATTACCTCCTCCATGTTTTACGGTAGGCAGTTGGTATTTAGGATTGTACCTAGTACCTACTGGACGTCGAACATACCTGATTCCATCGGATCCAAACAGCATAAATTTGCTTTCGTCACTAAAAATAATTTTTGACCATTTTTGACTACTCCACTTTAGATGTTTTGATGCAAATTCCATTCTGGAGTTACGTTTTTTCAAGGAAACTAATGGTTTTTTAGCTGGGCGTCTTCCAAACAAATTAGTGTGACGTAAACGACGTTTTATAGTAGAAATACTACAATTCATTCTATAGAAACGTCTCATTTGTACGTTTAAATCGACAGCTGTCAAATTGCAAAGAAAATCCCCAGCTGTCAAAGCTGGGGATTTTCTTTGCTTTTTATCCTGATAACGCGTTGTTTTGCGTGGCCTTCCTGATTGATTTTTATTCTTTGTAGATCTAGTAAGCTTAAATTTCTTTATAATTTGTCCAACAGCAGACTTACCAACTCCATAAAGCTGTGCTGTTTTACAAAACGAGTTTCCATTCTGAACTGATCTCAAGATCAATTTTTTTACTGGAGATGAAATATATTTCTTAGATCCCATGATCTCAATCACTTATATATAAAGGTTTTAAATTTTTTTCTACAAAGTATTTGTTTATAAAATCAACAAATTAGCTATTTTGTGGTGAAAATGTTAAAAGTGTTAGTTTGTACGCAAACTTTTGAACTTATCAAAAATCGCCATTTTGTTAACCAATTTTAAAATGATAATTAAATATTCATTATTTGCTCAAAGCATAATTGTTAACTTGGAAACCTTTTAATTAGTATATAATATGTTGGCTTTAGTGAAAGCCAACATATTATATACCAATTAAATTATGTGCTGAAATTTAAGTAAAATTCTTTATTTTTTTGCCTGTCCGCAAACTTTTGGACGCTACTGTGTATATATATATATATATATATATATATATATATATATATATATATATATATATATATATATATATATATATATATATATATATATATATATATATATATATATATATATATATATATATATATATATATATATATATATATATATATATAAATATATATATATATATATATATATATATATATATATATATATATATATATATATAAATATATATATATATATATATATATATATGTATATGTATATATATGTATATATGTATATATATATATATATATATATATATATATATATATATATATATATATATATATGTGTATATATATATATATATATATATATATATATATATATATATATATATATATATATATATATATATATATATATATATATATATATATATATATATACATATACATATACAGTACCGACAGAAAGTTTCCAGGCCGATTATAGCTAATATTTTTACTCTAAAGATGTTGCTAATGTTGAAATAACTTTTGGTGCAAATATGGTATTTCCAGCAGGACAATGCGCCTTGCCATAAGGCAAGGACTGTG